CAATTACCACCACCTTGTTGTTGATTGCCCCAATTACCTTGGGGTCGCCATTGTTGGTTTGAAGAGTTGCCTCTATTGCCTTGATAGTTGTTAACATATTGTACCTCTTCATTTTGCTCATCATAGCCATCATTTTGAAACCCATCACACTCATTATCAAATTGCTCGGAATTCCCTTGATTTTGTTGCCTCTTTTGCCTTCTCTTGTTGGTAAGCAAATTAACACTTTCCATAGCATTCACTTGGTGAGGGTTTTGGACTTGTTGCAACTGTGCCTTAGCCAATTGATTCATAGTAGCTGTCAACTCCGCTATAGCCTGTCCATGGTCATGTAATTCCTTGTGCAAATGGATGACCGTAGGGTCACCTTGGGGAACATTGGCTCTACTTTGCCATGCGGAAGATGTATCCTCCATCTCATCAAGAATCTCACAAGCTTCGTCATAAGACAACTTCATGAAATTACCCCCGGCCAATTGATAGACTATGTTGATTTGTCGTATTGATGCCCCGATAGAAGGTTTGTTGAATCATCGCCTCGGTCATATTGTTGTTTGGGCATTCTTTCACCATTGTTCTAAACCGCTCCTAAATCTCATACAAAGGTTCTGTGGGTTCTTGCTTGAAAGCCAATATCTCATCTCGAAGTGCCGCCATGTGCCCAGGTGAGAAAAATTTTGCAATAAACTTATCCGCCAACTCATCCCAAGTTGTGATGGAATGATTGGGGAGTCTCTCTAGCCAATCCAGTGCCTTTCCCCGGAGTGAGAACGGGAAAAGTCTCAACCTATGAGCATCTTCGGACACATTCGTTTGCTTGCTACCCCAACATGTATCCACGAATCCTTTTAGATGTTTGTAGGCGTTTCGATCCGCAGCGCCCGTGAAATACCCATGCTGCTCAAGTAAGGTCAACATCACATTGGTTATCTGAAAATTGCCCGCCCGGATTCTGGGAGGGACTATAGCACTCGCGTACCCTTGATTTGGTAGCACTCTAGGAACCGCTCTTGGAGGTGGCGGAGGAGGGTCTGGAACATTGTCATTAGCATTGGCCTGGCGGCCTCGTCTTGGTCCGGGAGGTACAAGAGGCACCTCATCCTCTCCAATTTCATCTACCTCCTCCCCCGCAAGCACATTTCCAAGAGGGTCGTTCGCGTTTAAAGCCATTGGGTACCTGTAGTAATCACACACACAAATTAGTAATAAGGAAGGAAAGAAGAACAACACACAAAACTAACTAAATAGATAGCCAAAACGGTTAGCTCCCCGGCAACGGCGCCAAAAAGTTGATCGCTGCCTACTCCGCACAAATAAAAGGTAGCAAGAGAGGGTCGCAATAGCTTTCACCCGATATGAGGGTCGGGATCAAATTCCTCAGGGAGCTAGAAAAGGAGTTGATGTATCTATCTAATCTAGAATCGTGTAAGTGTTCCAAATGTCACTTTCAACATTTTTGGGTTTTCTTTTATAAACTACTATTATAAAACTACTAATTAGGAATGAACTAGATTACGCTAAGAGATAATTGCTAAGAGTTGTATCTAATGGATTAAGGGGCACTAGGGTAGTGGCTTTCACCTGGGTGGCTAATTGACGGGTAATTGCTTCTAAAGCTTGATTGACATGATTGAGGAAATATGTATAACCATTGCACAATTTTACCCACTCTCACACCTCTCGGTAGAGAGAATGATTTTGCCTAATTGACTCTCTCGAGACCAAATGGGTAGGCAAATTAGCTCAAGCAACTTTGGGTTCAAGTCGGGTAATTACTCTCTCGTGGTTTAACCCTTTAATTGGGACTATCAATTCTCTGGAGTGTATCCCAGTTCCTTGTTGGGTCAATTTTGGAGACTTAGGCTTTCTCTCTCAAGAAGAGCCAAGTCAACTTAGCACAAATCAGTGTTTGCAACCCCCAATTCATAAATTAAACCATAAAATTGACCCAAATACAAACACCCATAGTCAATCTAACCTTAAATCACAACACCCATCAATTACCCACACTAGGGTTGAGCCACAACCCTAACTAAATGGGTTTAGCTACTCATGCTTGAACAAGAAAATAGAGAAATAGATGAAGAACAAGACATATTATTTAAATGCTAAATTAAAATACAAGAATCTATCGTTAATTTGAAGCTAAGATGCCAAAAATGGCTACAACGAGCGCAGCTACTGAAATAAAATAACTCATGCCCTAAAAATGGAAAAAGGGTCTATTTATACTAAGCTGGAAAAACTGGACAAAAATGCCCCTGCAGGGTCAGTGCGGGCCGTACAAAATGGACCTCGGCCGCGCTAGGCTCTTGGACTTCAAATCTGGGTTCTCTAAACTTGGGCTCCGCGAACCGCGTAGAATGGACCGCGGACGCGGAGGTTTCTAGCACGGTCCGCACAAGTATGACCGCGGACCGCACAGCTTGAACCATGGCAAATTTTAACTCTCTGAATCTCTCATCCGCGGACCGCACAAAGTGGTAGTGTGGCCACGGAGCCTTCACCGCGGACCCCGCAAGGTGTAATGCGGCGCGTTGCCTGAATCCTGGTTTTGCCATCTCTTTGAATCTACCTAGTGCGGACCGCACAAAGTCGAATGCGGTCGCACTAGGCCTTTTTGCCCTCAATTTGCCTTGTCTTTGATACTTGAGCAGGTTTCACTCCCTTTAAGCCAATCTTTGACATTTCGTCACTTTGTGGATCAAACCTGCAATCAAGCACACTTATGAGCCTTTTGGGACTATTTTGTAACAATTTATAACCAAAGCATAAGCAAGAAGGAGCGTAAAACACGTTAAAATCCCTAGTTATCAAAGACACCTATCAACAGTAAAGTCAGCACTCTTGTTCAGGAAAGTGAAGCCAAGGATGCTGAGATAGCTAGGCTAAAGGCTCGTGTGGCAGAGGTGGAATCTGAGAGGGATGCTCTCAGAAGTGAGCTTACCAAGGAAAAGGAGAAGAATGATAGAATTCTTCACAATATGCTGAATCTTCTCCAAGCCCAAAACCAACCCTCTAGCTCCCCCAAGCCTTAGGAATTCTAGCATTTGTCTCCTGAACCTGTCTAGTACCTTCAATGACCCGGATTAGGGATTTTTCTTTCTTTTTTCTCATGTTTTTAATATTTTTTCTTTCTGGTTGTGGATTGTGGTAGCAACATATCTTCTATCAATGATATCTACTGTTTTTGCTCTTGATTTCATGTTAATATTTCCTTGATAGTTTAAATATGTTTGCTTGATTACTGATGATTAATCCATGATTGCACTTGCAGTTGCCCCAGTGGCCATGAGTACTTATTAAAATCTGGGACTCACACTTTGTGTATGCAACTTTTCGATGATGCCAAAAGGGGGAAGAGATATTGTGCTTTACATATTTTGAATAAGTGATATTTATAACCTAATTAACCTGGTCCTTGATGATAAGTGAATTTTCTAAACTTTGTATTGATGGTTAAGCTGAGTTCTTACGGGGTCCAAGTAAGTAAAAAGCACAGAGTTTGTCATCATCAAAAAGGGGGAATTTGTTGGCCCAAGTAAAAGGTGTAGTTTTGAAGACTGACAAAACAACTCAGACATGGACCAGGTCCATCTTGTGAAGCACAGTCATGATCAACCCAAACATGTAAGATGCACGTGAAGGAGATAAATCTAACTTATCAGAAGTAATATCTCCTGATCTGATCGAAAAGGTTGCATATTGGATAAGGAGATAAATACTCCTTATACGAAGAGAACACAGTTTAGAAAGAGGATAGGGTTAGAGTATGAGATCAACTAGAACTCTTTTACCATAGAAGAATAGCGTCTGTATCCCAGTCAATCTCTAATTACTAACTCCTTAAATATTAGTGTTGTTCTCTTTTACAGGTAATGCACATAAGCAGAAGTTAAACGTGAATTGAGAGCAAAATAGCAAGGCAATTTTGCTAGCAATTTATGTGTGATTCAAGCGTGCAATCCTGAAGCTACTTGAACAAGATAGAAGAACCAGTTCCAAGTGTTTATCTTTTATTCTAGTTCAATTGTAGTAGGTGATTTTACATTGTACCTTTCAGCTTTTATAGAAGCGATTGTACTAGGCACTTAGAGTGTTCAAGTTAGAGTTAACTTGAAGTTGTCGCAACAGTTGAGGTTGTGTGCCACAACGGGATTAGAGTTAATCCTAGGTTTACAAAAGAGTTTTTGTAAATGCAGTTTTTGGCTCAGTGATTTTAGTGGAAGTTTGGAAAAATCCTACTGAGTAGTAGGTCGTGGTTTTTCACCTTTTGAGCCAGGTGTTTTCCACGTAAAAATCTCTGTGTTCTTTATTTTCTTTACTTATTTTTCCACAAACAGTAGTAGTTGGAACATATAGAACAACTAGATCCTTCTATAATCAAGTTAAGCGAAAATTGGGTACCACACAAATCACCCCCACCCCTCTTGTGTGGCATTGAAGTGTAAAACATCAGTACTAGAGTTAGTCTCTTTGGTTATAGAGTTGTAACCTAAAACTGCTCATTCAAGTTAGTGAAGCTTGAAGTAAATCCTAGTGGGGTACTTTGAATTTGGACTTCATTCAAACTTCAAATGTGAGATCTGAAAAGACTTTGGTAGCACCCAACTTCAAATTTGTAGATCCAAATTAATAATCATACACCCGCAATTTCAACTTCAGATCTGTATGTCTGAAATTGATTTTCAGGTGGCTAAACTTTAATTTATAATTTGGCTATTTCTTAAATAAAGTCCTAAAATCGACTAGTTGTACTCAGCCCGTTTTCTTTAGGCTTGGGGAATTGTTGGCTGGAACTGAGAATGGCTTTAGGGTTGGTTTGTTTTTGCTTATTTCTGTCACCATTTGGATTGGAGTTAAGGGCTTTTGGTTACTTATTTGATTCTTGCTTTTCATAACAAAGAATTTTGTTACAACTAATATGAATACTAAGCCAAATATACATACATGAGGTAGGATAAATAGGCGGAAACGGGAGCATCAAAATTATGCGTCTATAGACAGGGAAAATTATTTTTCAAAAATAATTAGTTTTACAAATTTAATAGAAAACTCCACTGAGCTCAGTCAATTTAGTAAAGCTGTTGTTTGAATGCTGCAGCAGCAGAAGCATTACTAGAATTGTAGCCTTTAACATATAAGCTTCAGCAGCAGCAGCCAAAGCACTACTATTTGCTATGCAACTGCCAGTAACATATAACTTCTGATAATTTCCTAGTTTCTTGTTAAAAAAAAGCATGTATGACGTTTATAGCCAAAATAAGAGTTAGGAGATAGATCCCATATGAAGTTTGAAGAGAGAGGAATAGTGGCCATTTTCGTTACTGACAAGAGTTTCATGGCTTCCTTCTTCTATAATGGCCCCATTATTCATCACACAAACTAAGTCTGCTCCCTTAATTGTTGATAATCTGTGCGCTACTATAATCGTAGTTCGAGTTACCATGATTTGGTCTAATGCCATTTGGACAATCCTTTCAGATTCTGCATCAAGCGCACTAGTAGCTTCATCCAGTAATAATATTTTGGGATTTTTCACAATAGCTCGTGCAATGGCAACTCTTTGTTTCTGACCACCCGAAAGCTGAACACCTCGCTCCCCAACTATGGTATCGTACCCCTGAAATCCATTTTTCAGGTTTAGAAACATTGAAATATAAGAATGTGGAACTGAGAACTAAATGAATAAAAGAAGAACAAACTGAAATCTAATCCTAAACTCAGGAAGTGAACATGTAGCAACAAAGAAATTAGCTTCATTCCTAGAATTCACCAAAATGCTTTGACTCTATAAATTTATGGATTTTGACGTCCTCATTGAAGTTAAAATGACCTTCATCCCTCTCCATATGTAATTCTCCCTTATATAATTCAAAAGCAATCTCCCCAGATTAGGTTTTTCTCATTCAAACATTTCGTTGAAGAATTTTCCCTTACATTTTCTTAATAGTTAAAAGATCACTAAGCTTCTCTTCTCCCGGCAATTTTTTTCCTCAACAAAAGATTGGAGTTGTAGCTTACTAATCTCAACTTCACATGCAGAGTTTCTATCTCACAAAAGATTTTCGTCCCGCCTACTCTTTCCTTCCCAATTACCCATGGGCCTACTTGTACCACAAAGAATCTTAAAGAAGACGAAAGTAACCCTCCGATATCACACATTGAGTATTTCAAGATGCTCAGGAAGAAACTGAATTCTCTATTGCATTTTTATATTAGCTTTTGCTCCTAAGCCCGACTAGATGAATCATGAATGGTTTCCTAACCTGCTGTAAGCCACAAATGAACTTGTGAGCATTTGCTAATTTTGCTGCAGTTACTAGTTCACCTTCAGTTGGATCTCCTTCCTTCCCATACATGATGTTGGCTCGGATTGTATCATTGAACAGAACTGGTTCTTGGCTCACAAGCCCCATTTGATGCCTCAGCCATTTCAAGTTGAAATTTGTAATGTCAATCCCATCTAACATAATTCGACCCGAATCAAAATCATAATATCGTTGTAAGAGTGAGATCACTGTCGACTTCCCGCAGCCACTTTCTCCGACTAAAGCAATTGTCTAAATTTAGTAAACAAATGTAAAAGTTAATATTCAGAAGTACACAATATCATAAGTAATAAGAAGAAACTTTGTTGATTTCAGGTTGGTGTTAATCACCATTAAAGCACGTTTATGGTTTTGTAATACTCTTTATTTTCTATAATAGCTAGTTGAAAAAAAATAACTTACCCACATTTATAGATCAAGCTAAGATTTCTAATATTTTAAAACGTACAGTTAAGTTGTACTTAGTTTTGCTACTATCATACCAAACAAAATCATAACAAAATGAAAACAACAACAACAACAACATACCCAGTAAAGTTCCACAACTGGGGTCTGGAGCAAAAAAATCATAACAAAACGAGTTACTAATATTTGAGAAATATACCTGCCCACTCGAAATTGTCAGGCTGAAGCAACGAAGAACAAGGATGTTTGGCCTTGTTGGATATGTAAAGCATACTTCTTTAAACTGTACTACTCCTTTGATATGGACTAATGTCAAACCATCCTCATTACTTGAGTCTATCTTCGAATTTCTGTCTAATATATCAAATATTGAAGTGGCTGCACTCATAGATTTTTGTAAATCATTAGCAAAGAAGCTTGACTGAGAAATAACCATAGCTATCAAAAACACAGCAAGGAAAACCTGCGAGGCAAAAAGAAGTTATAGGAGGGAGAGTTATTATTTGATACAGGAGACTAACCATAAAATTATAAAAAAAAAAAAATAAATAAATAAAGGATTTAACATTTTTTTTTAGGATTTAACATACTTAAATGTGAACACCCCTACAACTCTACTTGGCGGGAACTCATGTTTTAGTCCTACGGTTGTAAGAGATTCAAAGTCCACCAAGGGCTATTCCTTCTTTCTGTTCTTTCCTACCAAGGGCCACTCCCACAAAAAAATTAAAACAAAATAGTAGTACTATATGTGGAACTTCCTTCCCATATTTTAATACTATTTTTGCTTTCCATCTTTTCTACCTTTGACTTGTCCTATATTAATGATGAAGGTAAGAACTTAAAGAGTGAATCCATTAAGTTTAAATTATGAATCTGCCTATGATTGAGTCATGTTTGCTCGATTCTCTTTCAGTAATTTATTGGAAAATAAAGAAAACAAGCACAGTAAATGCTTACGCGGAAATGATCAGAAAATGTAATTTTTCCATCCTGTACAAGTCGAGCTCCAGCGTAACTACTTGCTGAGTAGACAAAGAATATTAACGACGATGTAATTGCATAACTAATTCCACTAATCAAACCTTCTCCTGCCCTGGCCTTCATTGGGCCATCACTTTCCTTTTTATATAATTCCATAACCTTCTCTTCTGCACAAAAAGAAGCAACTGTTCTTATATTTCCAACTGCATCATTGGCTATTTGACTTGCTTGCACATACAACTTCTGCGCCAAAAAGGAAAAAAGAAAAGAAGCAGAATGATGACAAATTGAAACATCAAATAATAATATGGCTAGGAAATAACTGCCTTTTAGGGTAATGGATGACTTATTTACTTTTCTGGAGTCCAGTAACAACCGTTAGCTCATGTTACTAATTCCATGCAACTCTTAAGTCTTAACTACTCCAACCTCCCTCTTGTTTGTCACAACAAATTGCTCTTATTTCTTAAAGTTAAACATATTTTACTTTATTTGCTAAAGTTTTAAATATCCAGTTGTTTTGCTATATATTTCCCTTATACATCAGAAACAACCTATTAAAAATAAGCTAGACACAATTAATCAGAAAAGCCAATTTAGGTAATTTGAAGAAAAATTAATGGGCCACTTAAGACTTGACTGATGATCTCAATATCAGACTGGTCATGTCCGTTTTCAAAGTCAAGGTAAGGTTTATGTCCAAGGAACTATCATGATTAAAAAAAATATTAGTTCATTTTGTAAATCAACAATGCATAGGTCATTAATATGTAGAGTTAAAAAGTAAATATGAAATGAAACAAGGAATTGTAGGAGAAATATTATTCAGTTGGTTAAGTGTATGGCTACTTAATGAGTTTTTTGTTTACCAAAACGTAGGCGTAACCAAACCAACTTAAGGAATTTTTGCCGTCATTTGAAGTAGTATAATTTGCTATATTGGGTTGAAGGGCAGTATCATCACTTATTGAACTGAAAATAGAACATTACACTTTAGAGATGCAATAGGTTATTAAATAATTAGGAGAAGCTAAGGAGAGAGAAAATGTCAGGAGAAGGTGCATGTACCAAACCATGTTAATTTACCATGGTTTAAGTGATAAATTCTGGTAAAAATACATATTAACTAACTATGATTAAATGACAAAAACTTATGTAGAGAAACATGTCATGTGCTTATCTCTCTGATGCATGGACCAGGTCTAGCTAAGTGCTTTTTCGGAGGGAATTTTCATGTATCAATATGTTAAAAGAAATATCAAAGAAAGATTGTCACTATCTCTTGCACACATTTAGCTTGTCAATTATTTTCTTTCTAATTTTCTATCCTGAGTATTCACATTCCATCAGCCGTTGTACCAGTTTATGCCGGTCAGCCGGTCTGTTCATAAAATGACCTTTTGGCTCATCAAAAACTGTAAGCTAATGATTTCAAAAAATTACCAGTTGGGAAAATTGTATCCTAAAAATGCTTTGACACCAAAATGAGAAACCTAACAGAGACATAAAGAGACTTACATAAAAGAGTAAAAAAAGAACAACGGAAGACTTACAAAACGAGTGAAAAGATAAATAAGAGCTTATCAAGATTCGAAAACAGACCTTTGCATCAGCACCAAATCCTTTAGCGAACTTGTTTTGAACATAAATATTGGCCACCATAAATGGCAGCATGGAAAAGATAATAAGTGACAATAACCAACTTGCTCGAAAAGCAATTACTGCCCCAACAATTGCAGCCGCGAGATCTTTAGTTATTTTTTCCAATATATCCCCCACGAGAGCTCGAACAATAGCAGCATCAGCAGAAAGCTTTGTGGCTATCACTCCGACTGAGTTCTGTGGCTCATCGAACCAACCAATTTCCGTGTGGACAACCTTTTGAAAGCACATCGATCTAATACGTTGGATTAACTTACAACCAGCCACGGTAAAAGATAGTGTCGCTAATGGAGATGAAATCAGTAACGTTGTTGCAATAACCACGATCATGAGTGCCCAAAATTGTGTATCTTTCTTTAGTTCCTCTGGTGGCTCATAAAATGATTTAATCATGTTTGATAACAATAATCCAAAAATGGGGAGGACGGAACCAGAAACTGATGCAATTACAGCTCCCACAAATAAAATAGGAAACTCAGGCTTATTGAGATATGCAAGACGAGCAACTGGATCTTTTTCGAGCTTTTTAGATACTTTTAATTTCGTATCTGTTGCTCTTGCTAATCTAGTTTCAGGAATGTCATCAATTGCTGGAGTACCATAATTGTTTCTGGATTCTGGTCTTGACTCCTTGGAAAGATGTCGTGAATCATTGAGGCATATTTGCTCTTTTGCTTGATTTACTTCTTGGAAGTGAATAAGTCGAGAGTATGCTCCCTCAGGATTTTTCAATAGCTCAAAGTGTTTGCCTGACACATTAATGACATTAGCATCAGATCTGCGAAAACATTAGACAATATTGGGAAGATAGCTATGCCGCACATGGCAGAAGATATTTGTAGTTCAGTAGAAAACCTTTTGAAAAACCTCAACACATTTAGCAGTGCTTCAAGCGCTTGTTAAAAAATTAGCAATATATCTAGTATTATCATCTTTAGTGAATCTGGATATGTTCCCTGTGGTTTTCCTTTAGATAAGAGGTTTATATGTGAAAGTAAGTTCTAAATATTTGGTAACTGGAGAGGAGTTATACATATTTGTTTATACCTTTCTCAACAATTTTGCCTTGATGAATGACAGCAATATTATCTGCGTTCCTCACTGTACTGAGACGATGTGCAACTATCAAGGTTGTTCTAGCAACCATAATTTTGTCAAGTGCTTCTTGTACAGCACCCTCTGATTCGGCATCTAGAGCGCTTGTTGCCTCGTCTAGAAGTAAAATGCGAGGGTCTTTTAAAATTGCCCTAGCTATAGCAATTCTCTGTTTTTGTCCACCAGAAAGTTGAGTTCCACGTTCACCGACCATAGTTTCTATTCCCTGCAAGTAAAATCATTCAATGTAACAAAATCCTTGTACAGTAATTCTAATCAAGACAGGCAAGTACATAAAAAAAATATGAACCTGGGGTAGGCTTTTGATAAATTTGGTTGCATTAGCTATCTCAATTGCTACTTCAATTTCTTCCTTGGTGGCTCCATCTTTACCATATGCAACATTTTCCTTGATGCTAGTTGAAAACAAAGTAGGTTCTTGACTTACTAGAGCAATTTTTTGTCTAATCCACCTAATTTGGAACTCTTTGAGATTAACTCCGTCTATAAGAATTTCACCTAATTGTGGATCATAGAATCTCTCAATCAAACTAATCACTGTGGATTTCCCGCTTCCGCTTTCTCCAACCAAAGCAGCAGATTTTCCACTAGGGATTAACAGCGAAAACTCATTGAGTACTCTCTCTGTTGGTCGACTCGGATAGCTAAAATAGACATCTTTTATCTCTATATCACCACGGATGTCATCCAAAATCTTCCCACTATTGTTGTACGCATCAATCTCTGGATTTCTGTTTATTGTTTCAAACATCTTGAAAGCAGCAGCTTGGCCTGCTGTAAATGCAGCTAAGCAAGGAGATGCCTCACCTATTGACCTGAAAAATGGTTTTCGTACTTATGGTGTAGATGATCATCACATTAAAGCTCTTAAACTTGAAAGCATGTTCTAAGCTACTCAAGATTCATCTACAAAATGCTCACGTTGAAGCAGTTAACACAGCTAGAGTTACATTCAGCACCGCACCTCCTGTGTAACCTTTCTCCAAGATCATCTTTCCACCATACCAGAAAGCCAAAGCATAATTGCTGAAAAGAATAAAAAGGACTGATCCCAAGCCTAACCCACTTGCAAGTCCTTCATGTACACCAGATCTGTACGCCTTTTGTAGGAACTTGTTATACTTCTCGACAGCCTGCTTTTCACCTGTGAATGATGCCACCTATACAATATGCAGCGTGGATTTTATCCGAAAGAAAAAGAAAGTATGTTACCCCCGCCATTTTCCTTGATGACATTCTATAAAATAAGGACCCCAGAAAGAATCAAATTTCAATATTTCATGTAAGATTAGCAAAATGTTTGTAAAAATTTATTTAGATTATGCATAACATTTCAGTATCTGCGGACCAGATGTCACTTGCTCCTCTTTGTTTTTTATCTCATGTCTTTCTTTTTTCTCCTTTTTTATCTAGCTTTTTCTGTGTTTAAAATGTTCCACATACTATAATTTTGATCATTTGCATCAAGCTTCCTGTGTTCTACAACTCATCATATTTAGAAGCTAAATATAAGATGTTTTCTTTGGTTCTCAAGGTAAATAAAAGGCGTCCACAGGAGAAAAGGTAACGATAGCTAAGTTAAAGCTAAAAATGCTAAATCATGTATAAAATAAGAAACTTCGAAAGCATGGTGTTAAATTATTAAAATGACAAGAAGTAATCATGGAGAACAAACACACATGAAACTGAGAGAGAAGAAGCATCAAGTTATAAGGTTAAAATCTTACTGTTCTGATGGACGCAATTGTTTGCTCAACTACATTGGCTGCTTTAGAATAAGCTCTTTGTGAATCGGAAGCCTTTTTAGACATGAAGAGGAACATGACACCAACAACTATTGCCAGTGGTACAATGGTTGAAACCATAACAAGTGCTAGAAGCCACCCCCTGATGAAGGCAATAACAAATCCTCCTATAAACAATGCCATGTACCTTATGAACCTCCCCACCTGAGCACAAGCAAATTTATGTTGCATTACAAGAATTTCCTTGTATAATTTCAACATCACTAATTCTTCTCTGTTTTTTTTTTTTTTTTTGGATAAGAATCTTGGAATCTGTTTTTTTTTTTTTTTGGCATAAACAAAAATAATCAGAGTATTAATTGTTGTACCTTCTCGCCAATAGCATCTTGTATGATAAAAATGTCACCAGACATTTTCCCCATAACTTCCCCTGTATTTACTTCCTTATCGAAGAAAGTAACATCTTGTCGAAGAATACTTCTAAAATACAACACCCTTAGTCGAGCAGCTTGTCTCTCAGCAGTGATCGTCCAACAAGCCACCTCTAGCAAACAAATTAGCACAAATCTTTTAGGAACTTTTGCTAATTGCATTTCAAATTAGCTCAAGTTAGTTGGACTTACGAAGAAATGCTGCTACACCAGTAGCGATTGCCACATAAACAAGTTGTAATGACACCTGAAAAATAACCAGCCGATTCAGAAAACGCAGACACGGATTAAACGCCGCGTGCCCTGTCACGGCACCCACACAGACACAGAGGCTGATCCAAGTTCGAGATTCTAGCACCGCCCATTAGATTTTACTGTTAATTACATAAACAGTCAGAGCCAAAATTATTGCGTTCGGATGAAGCCGTCCCTGCATCCAAAGGATCTACTGGACAAACAACAGGTCAATCTGGAAATGAAGTTTCCGACGGTGTCTAAGGAGATCGATCGCTGCTTCCTTTTGAGGAGCAGAGCGCCGCGAACTCCTCCGTGTTCCACCCGTCGCTTGCGATGTCATCCGCCTCCATGATGACGCTCTCTCTTCCTTCATTCCTCTCTCTTTCCACCATTGTCCAAAAAAGTTCGCGCAAAAAGTATCCCGTCCTATAAATGGCTGCACCATCATCCGAAACTCTCTTTTCCGCACAATTTAAATTATCTCCGAACCTTGGAAAAGAGTTTATAGTTTTATAAATGTTTTTATAAACACATAAATACTAACAACAACAACAATAAACAACATATCCAATATTATCCACCCTAAGCCTATAAATAGTATAATATATTTAAGACCACAACTTTTATAAAAATAGCACGGTCTAGCCAGCTTTCGGACTGGTCATTCAAAAATAGTCAGCGTTTACCAAGTCAATAAAAAATAGCCACTATTTTACTGCAACAGAGACCGGTCCAGCATAATATACTGGAGTTCGGTGCACCTGTATATGAACTTCCAGTATATTATGTTGGAACTCCAACACACAGAAAGTTCCAGCATAATATACTGGAGATTCGAGCACTTGTGTATGAACTTCCAGCCAGTGGCGAAGCCACATATTGATAAGGGTGGTCAACTGACAACCCTTCGTCAAAAAATTGCACTGTTTACATAGGTAAAATATTACATTTTAAAAGTATATAACACATATTGAACACCCTTTGTCCGAACTTTTTTCACTTCTTTTAAATTTGAACACCCTTGGAGAAATTCCTAGCTTCGCCACTGTTTCCAGCATATTATACTGGACCGGTATACTTTGCTGGAACTCCAGTATATTATGCTGGAGTTCTAGTGTACTTATGCTGGAACTCCATCATATTATGCTGGCATACTTATCCTGGAACTCCAGTATAATATGCTGGAGTTCAAGTATACTTATGTTGGAACTCCAGCATAATATACTGGCGTATTTTCCGGGTTTTGAACAGTATTTTCGCTCAAATTTATCTTCACATGAAAAGTGGCTAAATTTCGATTACTTTTGAAATTGGGCTATTTTTGAACAACCACTTATAAATGTGGCTATTTTTTAATTTCTCCCCAAGTTTTAAGAGGACTATAGTATATAAATAATGTGGCTTGTTTAGGACCACATGTTTCAGAAGTACTTGTTTCTTTCTTTAACTCCATGCCAACAAATTGGTTCACATACATTGAAATGATCAGAGTAATATTTTTATGGATATAGTCTTAAACAAATTATAGTATTTGTATAAAAACTTCTAATTCACCATAAAATTAGAAGTTTAAGTTAAATTATTTTTAAATTAAAAGAATTTTGCAAGAAATAGGTTCAAGTTAAGGGTGTGCATTTGGTTTTTCGGTTCGATTTTGCATTATTCGATTTGATTTTTCAATTTTCAATTTTGAAAAAGTGAATCCATTCCGAACCAAAATAAGTTTGGTTTGGTTTGGGTTTTCTCTCTTTGGTTCGACTTTTTGGTTTGTTATTCGGCTATGTCGTATAAAAAAATTAACATAATTGAATATTTATATTTAATGGCGAAAAATAAACATTATAAAGATGAGAAGTAATAATAATATATTTTAAAAATAATTTCTAATATTAGTCAAAGGTAATTTAAAAAATAATATTTAAAAGTAACATATTCAAACAATAAAAATTCTAAATCTAAATAATATTTCAAGCTCAAATGAGATTGATTCTTGCTTGCAAATATTAAAACTTGAAGAAACAGTAAAAAAAAAAAAAATTATGAAAGCTTCGCAATCAAAATATTACTTAGTAAACACGAGAAATTAGGGCTTTTATTATAAAGATGAAGAATGAGGCTTTATATACCGTAGTGCAAATAGGCCAATAAATAAGCAAGGTGAAAATGATAAAATGCTCAAACTCTAACTCTCGTATATAGTATGTGTTAAGTAATATATATATATATATATATATCGATTTTTTGAGATTTTTTCATTTTTATTTTTATGAAACCAAAACAGAATCAAAATTTTCTCAATCCGAAACCAAACCAAAAACTAATTCAAATTAAAATTTTGGTTTAGTTCAATTTGGTTTAATCCAAATAATGCACACCCCTAGTTCACGTACCGGAACAAAGGAAATATCTTTCGGAGTTCTTTTTTTTTTGGTGTGAATTATATATAATTACCCCAAACTTATTCTTATGTGTGAACTACACACTTAAATTTAACAGAGTCATGTGACCCTCTATTTTTGTTCAAACAGTAATTCATAAAACTCATAGAGGTATATATTTGGACGAGAAAATGGGGTACAAGCGCTGCCCACGTGTTCACGTTATCTTGTAAAATTTAGTGGGCGTTTGGACATAAGAATTATAAAATTCCAAAACAGGGTAAAAAAACTTTTAAGTGAAAATGGTATTTGAATTTTAGAGTTGTGTTTGGACATGAATAATTTTGGGTTGTTGAAGTTTTGTGAGTGATTTGAGTGAAAATTTTTGAAAAACAGTTTTTTGGAGTTTTTCAAATTTTCGAAAATTTCCAAAATGCATCTTCAAGTGAAGATTAAAATTTTTATGAACAAATGCTGATTTCGAAAAAAAAGTAAAAATTTTTAGAAAAAAGGGAAAAATTTCTTATGTTCAAACGGGCTCTTAGTTGGCATAGCCACTTTTGCGCGTGCTAATAGAGTTTGGTCGCCTTTTGAGATGCATTGGTGAAGTAACCATTGGTCCGACTAAATTTACATTTTTTACCCCAACTAAAATATGGAACACAACTTCAGCAATCGATACTTTAGTTCGGAGCCCCAAGAATGATTTCTGATTTTGAGCCTTTGCTAGTGCAACATCCAAGAACGATTCATGGAGTTCAAAGTAAGGTATTTGAAACATGTAAAAAATTCAAACTCCAGTAATCGTTATCGGGCTTGAACCTATAAAGGTTTGAATCTCAGTAATTGTTATTGAGGTTTGGACCTATAAAGGTTTGAACAAACTCCAGTAATCATTGTTGTGGTTTTAACTTACAAAGATTTGAACCCTAGTACTTGTTGCTAGGGATTAAGTCTAGAACGAATGTTTCACCAATGGTATCTCTTTTGTGCTCAAGGATAATATCCTGGAGTTTTAACTTGTAGAAGCTAGAACTACGTGATTTTGTCCTGCGATTTAAAATAAGGTACCATTAGGAAAGGGATCGCTTGGTCCTTGAAGAGTTCTTTCAAAACAAAGAATTGATTGAATTGTCTTATTAGGACAATTCATGATTCATATGCTTAGTCAGAAGGAATAATTCAATGGAGTTATGGATTTACCTAGGTCAGTTTATGGGCTAATCAATAAAGAATTTTTATCTTCAAAACAGAGTGTTTTGGACTCCAATATATTATACTATCTTGTAGAATATTCGAAATCCAATTGCATTGCTGGAGTTGTTCAGTGTATTCGGATACTTTTGTCCAAATATACCCGTATTTAATAAAGTGGCTAAAATCTAATAGCTTTTAACTTGTACTAAACGCTAATAGAAGGGGCTAATTACCAATATCACTCCATTATCTCCCCCTAAATCTCAACATTTTTTTCTGCCTCGGGAAAATGTTGTTTATGCCCATTTTCTATTAAAACAACCTCAACTTTTCACTCACATCAACAAATCACTAAAGAGAAAAAATGATGACCAGTCACTGAAAGGGATAAGAAAATGCAAGAACTGATTGTACAACTTTTTTTTAAGCAATAAACATCTATAGAAAGCATTGTGATGCCCATGGCAGAGGGTTGGCCGGTGAGGGAAGAGATCGAGGACTGGAGACCTCTAGGCTGAAAATCTTTTGAAGAAGGAGTACACATGTCACCTTAGTCTAATTTTACATCGGAATGAGTGAAAAAAATGAAGAGTTTTATAAGACATAACACAAGTTAAGATGGTATGCTCTCTTTTGGGCTCGATGATAGTGTAGCTCAAAGGACAAATTCGTGAGGTCTATTAGGACAAAGCGGATAACACATGCCATAGACTTGAATCGTGACAAGTACCCTATAGAACGTCGCTTTAGATGGATCAAGGATGTTATTTTCGGGTGAAGAAGGTGTATATGCAGGTTACGCTGTTCCAGCGAATGGTGAAGAAGATGTAGGGAAGTGACACCGAAAAATACAATAATAATACTGCAATAATATTATTTGTAAGCAGATACACGAATTGGCTTGAGTCGTGTTGGGCACTGTCCTAAGAAACTATTTCAGCAATGTGAAATATTTCCCCAGGATTAAACAAGCCCATCTCTATTTTATTTAGAGGATACAGGAATCAGCAAAATTAAATGTTACAAACTCAGCTATTTAAAAGAAGGGAACAAGAGAAGTTAAACTACCAAAAAGAAAGACAACAAGGGGAAGTTGGAGGATAATGCAATTAGAAGGAAAGAGAAGAAGGATTTCTTTTTGTCTTGCTGATGGTTATTTCCTTGTCTAGTTGAGCCTATTTATAGTTATGTTGCATGAAACTTGATTTTTGCATGGCAAAAACGTGCCCGAGGATTTGCCACTTTTTACACTTCTTTTGCCACTTACCATAGCCTTCTAGAAGGGCTAAAACACTTGTCCAAAGGGCATTAAAATATTGCCACAGTCTCCCACTATTTTAAAGACCTTCAAAAATAAACTTGCTGGATTTGTATGGTCCAAATTTAATAGGTTTGGTGTTTTTTGGACTATGAACCAAACTTAGACCAATAAAATTTAACTTACAGAATTTCTGGTAAAATATAATATTTCTATGAACCAATAATTCTTATTGTAAGTTACAGATTTTATCAATCACATTTCGACCCTTACAATTTTACTGTTCAACGCGGTTTTGCGCCCAATAGGCCATGCGCGTGCCTGGTTATTCATGAGAGCTCTAGAGTCTAGGCCAAAATCTCTTAGGAGTGGCCCACTCCACTCTCATATAGGTGAATTCATCAAGTGTATACTGCTTTTAAATACACCATGCATAAGGACTATGAATTTCATTAAGAGTTATAACTCAGCCTCTCAAATTAGTAGCAGTCAAGCACTCTCTTTTAGTGCATCAGTGCCAATATCAACTTGTTATTACCCATATGAACCTACTTCATGGGATCTCCAATAACATAGCTTGGGTTACCATCTCTATTGACAACACGTCGGCCTTAACCCCATCTCTTTTGAGGTTTGAAGAATTAATTTTCTTCCTACTGGTTTAGTCAGAGGATTGGCCAAATTTATCTCTGACTTCACATAGTCAATGAAAATTATTCCATCTCTCAACAACTGTTTTATGACATCATGTCTCAGTTTCATGTGTCTACTTTTACAATTATAAGATTTATTCTTTGCAATAGCTATTGCCACTTGATAATCACAATGCATAGACACAGGAGGCAATACGTCCTTTATTAAAGAGATATTAGCTAAGAAGTTTCTTAGCCACTCAACCTCAGAACTAGCTAACTCCAGAGCTACAAACTCTGATTCCATAGTCGATCTAGCAATAATCGTCTGTTTATTTCCACGATATTGCACCACCACCAAGGGTGAATACATAACCACTAGTGGATTTTGTCTCATCTGAATCAGAGATCTAGTTGGCATCACTATACCCTTCTAAGGTAGAAGGAAATCCACTATATAGGATACAATAGTTCATGGTTCCTCTCAAATATTTCATTAGTCTATCTAATGCAGAACAGTGCTCTCTGTTGGGATTATGAGTATATCTACTCAGTCTACACACAGCATAGGCTATATCAGGCCTTGTAAAATTCATTAAATACATCAGACTCCCAATAATCTGAGCATATTTAGACTGAGCAACTGGGTCACCATTATTCTTTTTCAACTTAGATTTAGCATCAAAAGAAGTGCTCACAAATGTGACATTAAAATATTCAAACTTCTTAAGAAGTCTCTCAACATAATGTTCTTGTGACAACATTATTCCATCTTCACTCCTTATAACTTTAACTCCCAATATTGTATTTACTTCACCCAGATCTTTCATATCAAAATTAGCAGATAGAAATTATTTTGTACTTTGCACAATATTTAAACTTGTACCAAATATAAGCATGTCATCAACATATAGACATATTATCACATAATCATTGTCTACCACTTTAGTATATAGACATTTATCCACCTCAACTGAAGAAAAACCCTCTCTCAGTAAGACTTGTTCAAATTTCTCATACCACTGCGTAGGAGCTTGTTTAAGGCCATAAAGAGATTTAATTAATTTACAAACTTTATTTTCTTGTACAGAAATGACACAACCTTTGGGTTGAACCATATAAATTTCTTCTTCTAAATCACCATTTTAAAAAGCTGTTTTGACATCCATTTGATGGATAAAAAGCTTACGGATTGAAGCTAAGGCAATTAAAACTCTAATAGAAGAAATTCTAGTCACTGGTGCAAATGTATCGCAATAATCTATATTTTATTTTTGAGAAAAACCTTTGCTACTAACCGAGATTTATGTTTATCTAAAGATCCATCAGGATTAAATTTTTTTTTGAAAATTCATTTACAACCAATATATTTTGCACCAGGAGGTAAATCAGTTAAAATCCATGTATTATTTTTCATAATAGAATTAATTTAAATTATTATTGCTTCTTTCCAATATTTAGCATCTGAAGAAGATATAGCTTCAAAATAATTTGATGGTTCATTATCGACAAGAAAAGTTTGAAAATCATTTCCATAAGAAAAATATTCTTTCCTTTGCCTTTTGCTCCTTCTTGGTTCCTCATTAGAGATAATTTTACTATTCTTTTCAACAAGTGTATGAGAAATTTTATCAGACAATGGATAAATATATTCAAAGAACTCAGCATTCTTTGTCTCAATTATAGTATTGTAATCAAGCACATCACTTTTTAAAACAAGAAATCTATATGCAGCACTATGTTCAGCATATCCAATAAGCATACAATCAGCAGTTTTAGAACCTATTTTCTCTTTTTAGATTCAGGCAAAAGAACTTTAGCAAGGCACCCTCACACTTTTAAATATTTCAAGTTAGGTTTATAACCCCTCCACAATTTATACGGAGTTTTGCAGTTCTTCTGTATGGTATTCTATTTTGTAAGTGACATGCAGATAAAATAACTTCACTCCACAAATTATCAGGAGCGTTAGAACTAACTAACATAGAGTTCATCATCTTTTTCAATGGTCTATTTTTTCTTCCAGCTACTCCATTTGACTCGGGTGAATAAGGAGGAGTTACCTCATGAATTATTCCATTCTTTACACAAAAATCATTTAATGATAAATGTTCTCCACCTCTATCAGATCTAATTCTCTTGATGTTTCTACTAAGTTGATTTTCAATCTCAGTTTTATAAGAAATAAAAGCATTAAAAGCATCATCTTTATTTCTAAGCAAATACAACTTAGTATATCTAGAAAAATCATCAATAAATGTCATATAATATCTTTTACCACCTCTAGTCATAGTCTGCTTTAAATCGCCTAAATCAGTGTAAATCAAGGATAACAATTCAGTTTCTCTATTTATAAAAAAATAAGTCTTTCTAGTACTTTTAGCTTCAGCACATATTTCACACTTGTCATTATTATTTGAGTCTAAACCAAATATTAATCCTAAAGACTACATTTTCTTTATATATACTACATTAACATGTCCTAGTCTAGCATGCCACAAAGAAATTGACTCAACCATATAAGCAGAAGAAGATACATTTTTATTGCTAGTATTAGAAATATTAAGCATAAATAAACGATGGTTACAATATCCATTGCCCACAAAAATATTATTTTTGGTCAATACAACCTCATTATTCTCGAAAGAAACCTTCACTCCAACTTTTCATAATAACCCAACAGAAACCAAATTGGTTTGGATATTAGGAACATGCAATACATCTCTCAATGCTAGAGTTTTACCAGATATGAGTTTGAGAAGAATTTTTCCTTTCCCAAGAACACAAGTTGTTCTTGAGTCACCAAGATAAATAGTTTCTTCTCCTTCCTCAACTCAACTTGGGTGTAAGATAAAAATTTATTTTTGTTTGCACAAATGTGCCTAGTAGCACCAGAGTCTATCACCCAATTTCTCACATTGGCCACATTATTTATTTGGAAAATGACCACAATAATTATATTATCCGCTTTCGTCAAGTTTAATTTTGACTTAGCGAGATTAGCATTTATCCCAACTCTTCTTTTACATTGAGGTGCATTTTTCTTGAAGGTTTTAATATTAGAATTGGATATGTAATCATGTCTATTCACATGCCTGTATTTTGATATTAGTGTCTGCCAAAGTTGTGGATGCAATAATGTATTTGCAACACCATGGATATCTAGCAGGACAGCTGGAACAGTAGCAGTGGAGACAACACTAAAATTGGTAGCACCATCAAAATTTTTTGTAGTAGTATTACATGCCATAGTTTCTTAGATTTTAGGGAAATGATACCGAAAAATATAATAATAATACTGCAATAATATTATTTGTAAGCAGATACACGAATTGGCTTGAGTCGTGCTGAGTACTATCCTAAGAAACTGTTTCAGCATTGTGAAATATTTCCCAAGATTAAACAAGCCCATCTCTATTTTATTTAGTGGATACAGGAATCAGCAAAATTAAATGTTACAAACCCAGCTATTTAAAAGAGGGGAACAAGAGAAGTTAAACTACCAAAAAGAAAGACAACAAGGGGAAGTTGGTGAATAATGAAATTAGAAGGAAAGTAAAGAAGGATTTCTTTTTGTCTTGCTGATGGTTGTTTCCTTGTCTAGTTGAGAGCCTATTTATAGTTGTAACTACATGAAACTTGGTTTTTACATGGCAAAAACGTGGCAGAGGATTTGCCACTTTTTACACTTCTTTTGCCAATTTTTATGGCCTTCTAGAAGGGATAAAACACTTGTCCAAAGGACATTAAAATATTTCCACAGAAGGTCTATGTGTACGTTATGTTGTTTCTCAGAGAAGATCAGTAAGTTTCTTAACAGGATCATAGGGTGGCAAAATAACTTTTTTTTTGGGAAATAGTGACTTTCTATTCATTCCAAAAAACAGCTTTACAAATCAAGTAGATGCTGACCATCTACATCTCTATCTTCTAACTACATCAATTATGATGATCTAATTACATCTCTACTGTATGGATATTTACATCAGCTTAAGGCTTTTAAAAAAAAAAGAAAAACAGAAACATTCTACATACTCTCAAAACTAAGAGCCTAGAGGAAAGTAGTCTAATTGTTGCAATGCTCCTTGCCATTTCTTTATTGTCCTCCCTCTGGTATGTATATGCATCACAATTTCTCTGCAGATACTGTCCTTCTTGAGTACTCCCCCTTGAAATCTAATCACATTTCTTTCCCTCCAAATTGTGTACACTAGCATACGCAATACACAGGTTACAATTGCCCAGCGACCAGATTTCTTTTTTGCACCTTTGTTAATCCATTGGGCCTCTCCTTGCCAATTCTGAATAGGTTTAGAATGGCCCTGCCAATTGAGGAGCTTAGTCCATATTCCTTTTACTATTGGATAGCCGAAATATAAGTGTTCAAATACTTCATCAGTGTGCCTACAGAATACACATTGTTTGGGTATTTGAACTCCAAATTTGGTAAGTCTGTCCACTGTTGCTAACCTCTTTTGTAGTGCCAACCATATTATGAATTTATATCTAGGGTGCAGATGAGGTTGCATAGTTATACTCTTCCAAGGTACCCTTTGTAGTTGAGGGAATTGCACTCATACTGAATTTTCCTCCATTTTGTAGTTGGACAAGTCTGCTTACCATATCCCCTTGAATACCTTGCAATTCAAGAACAAAGTTCCTGGTCTCTATTATCTTTCTAACCACCCAAGCAACATTCTTGGGTATTGGACTGCTTTCCACTATCCTGTTTCTTATGTAGAAGGTGTGAACCCATCGGATCCATAAGCTGTCCTTCTTCATTGTTACTGCCCACGGGTGTTTTGCAACTGCTGCTTTGTTCCAGTAGTAAAGGTTCATTACATTTAGTCCACCTGCAACTTGTGGCCAGCATACTCTGTTCCAAGCAACTAGTGCTTTCTTGGTGATGTTTGATGTGCCATACTATAAGAAGGATCTACAGATGGCTTAAATCATCTTTAATATCTTCTTAGGCAACAAAAAGATTTGTGCCCAGTATGACTGTACCCCAAACAAGACTGATTTAATTAACTGGAGCCTGCCAGTATATGAAAGCAATTTGGATGTCCAACAGTTGATTTTTTGTGTAATCTTCTCTACTAGTGGCCAACATTGGATAATAGACAGCTTTTTGGAGGCTAGTGGTACACCTAGGTATCTAAATGGCAGAGTACCTTCAGTGTATCCCAATTCTTGCATAATGTCTTGCTTTGTGCTATCTGAGATGCCTGCTAGGTTGATAGAGCTTTTTTCTGTATTTGCCTGGAGGCTAGATGAGTTATAGAACTTGAGAAATGTTTGCTGCAGCAGTCTTATGGATGTAATGTCAGCTTTACAGAACATCAACAGGTCATCCTCAAAATAAATGTGAATTACTTCTAGCTTCTTACATCTGGGACGGAATTTAAAGTGTCTGTGATTTTCCAGCTGTGCAAGTTCCCCCTGCAGATACTCCATGGCTATGACAAACAAATAAGGAGACATGGGGTCCCCTTGTCAAATGCCTCTTCTTCTTTGAAATAGTTTTGTCAGTCCTCCATTTATGTTGAGGGAGTAAGTCACCGTGGTGATGAATTCCATTATCCAACTGACAAATTTATAAAGGAATCCAAGCTCTAATAGCATTCTTTCAAGGAAGTTCCAATCTAGAGTGTCATAGGCTTTTCTAAGGTCTACCTTTAAAACACACCTTGGGGAGATCCCTTTTCTGTTGTATCCTTTGAATAACTCATGAATAAACAAGATATTATCTGTATTGCTTCTTCCATCAATAAAGGCTGATTGTGACTCCCCAATGAGATCCCCCATTACACTCTTTATTCTGTTGGTGATAACTTTGGTTATTATCTCGTATAGAGTGGTGCAACAAGCTATAGGTCTGAATTCTTTGACTTGGCTGGGGTTTGGCACTTTTGGAATTACAGTGACTGCTGTACAATTCATTCCTTTATGTATTGTGCCTATTTCAAAGAATTCCTTGACTGCAGCACATACTTCAGAACCAACTACAGTCCATTGTGTTGTGAAAAACTCAATGGGAAAGCCATCAATCCCTGGGGCTTTATCATGAGGCATATCTTTTATAGCAGCTAGAATCTCCTCATTTGTTACATTTTTGACCAGTGTCACCTTCTGTTGTTGGTCAAGGCATCTCCCTTGTTTTGCCACTTCAGCATCTGGACATCTATGAACTTCTCCACTTTCTCCCATGAGTTTGGCGAAGAATGATATGAATTCATTTTCTATTTGGACTGGATCTGTTAGCTTAATACCACATTCAATGTAGATGGATGCAATGTGGTCTTTGCTTTTCCTCATCTTCTATTAAGCATGGAAATATTTGGTATTTGAGTCACCATATTCAATCCAAGTGGCCCTAGACTTCTGTTGCAATACATGTTCTTCTATATGACTCCATTTTGCCATTTCTGTCAAGATTTCCTTTTCCTGGTTGAACAAGCTCTGATCTAGAGGAGAGTTTTTGAGTTCCCCTGTATTATCTCTACTTTCTGTCTTGCCTGGTCAAGTCTCTACTGGTAGGAAGCCATATATTTGTTCAAGTCTTTAAGGCCATTTTTGAGTTTCTTCAATTTCTTTCAGATTGTGTTCATGGGCACTTCTTGAATTTCCTGCTGCCATACCTCTTGCACTATGCTCTTGAACTTTGGATCCTCCATAACATTCTTGTAGAGCTTGAAAGGTTTAGGATGCAATCCTTCCTTATGTTGACTAATATGTATGAGGATTGGAGAGTGATCAGACACTTCTGGATTCATGAATTAAGCTTCTATGTGGCTATATTATTGCAGCCACACATAATTGCCTATTGCCCAATCTATCTTGCTATACACCCTTTTATCTTCCTGTTGCTTGTTACACCATGTAAAGAACCAGCCAATACTTTTTAATGGGGTCAGCACATAAACTAAATTTTGAAAGCCTTGTGTCTCTGATTGAGTGACTGGTGCTCCTATTCTGTCTTTAGTGGTTAGCACATTGTTGAAATCCCCACTTAGAGGCCAAGCATCATGTACATTGGTTCCCACCTGTGCAAGTTGATTCCATAACTGTTGTCTGAGAGTTGCATCATTTCTAGCATACACCACAGTTAACAATGATTTGAAACTATCCTTTTTCACCTCACAATGGATATATTGGTTTGTTGTCTCAATAATCTGGATGTTTACATTGTTTCTCCACATGAGCCATATTCTGCCATTTGGGTGGTCTTTATAATTACAGCACCCATTCCGGTCCTTAGCCACCTTCTACATGATTCTCATAGCATTTTTCTCCTTTACTCTTGTTTCTACACAACCAATTACATCTATTTTGTACTTACTCAGAAAGAGCTTTAACTCTTTCTGTTTAAAGGGCTTATTAAGCCCTCTTATATTCCAAGTACGATGTTCATTGATGGAAAGAGCTGGTTGGCCCAGCATCCCCTGACTCTTTATCTGTGGGTTGTGTTTGTAGGATTGCAAACCTATTGCTAGAGGTAGTTGCAGGAGATGTTAAGTTGACTGCTTCTAGATTGCCTTTAGCCATGGTAGTCTGTTGTTCTTTCCATGCTCCTATCTTTCTGAGTGATGTTCTTTGATCCTCTGTAGTAATTTGTTTAGTTATGGGCTGTACACTTTCTGCATTAGGCTTTCCAACTACTTTTCTTTTTGAGCTCCAGATGATTCTACATCATTTGAAGTTGAAGAAACATGTATCTTCTGCACCCATTGTTGAGTGATCTGCTTCTTTCCATTCTTAGTCCTTCTTCTGTTCTCGAATTCCGGCCGGCATTTCTGTCAATCGGCGGAAGACTCACGCATACTAGTAGGCTTCTTCTTCTTCTTCTTCTTCTTCTCGGTTGCTCCTTAAATTCCTCCTCATTTTCCTGCTTTGCCTTTGCCCAACATTCAATTGTATCATGCACAAACCTAATGCAATCACAGCAGAATTTGGGCCTCCAGTCATATGCAATCTGTTGCTGTATAACTCCCTTTAGTGTTTGCATCTCAAAACTCTCAGGGAGTGGGTGTGATACATCAATTTCCACTAGTACTCTGGCATACACGGCCTTCTCCATTTCTGTTGTTACCCTATCCGTATATAGAGGTTTTCCTACTACACTAGCAAGCTTGCTCAATCCTTTAGTGGACCAATATCCTAATAGAAGACCAGGGAACTTCACCACAAAGGAATAATGCTCAAGCACTCTGGGTTAAAATAGAAATCAATTTTCCAATGCTGTAGGATAAATGGTTTGTTATGGTATGGCCCTGCATGGAGTACTAGATCTCTATCTTCTATACTCTGAAATTGGAAAATGTAGTATCCTCATCATGGTACAGAATTTTAGGATTTGCTACAAAATTCCATACATTGGTTACCATAGTTTTCCATAGACTTCTCATATGGGTTATCACCAAGGACATACCCAATGAGGGTACTTTTTAGCGCTTCCTCCTGAGCCCTAATGTCCTCCTCCTCTATATGTACCACAAATGTGCCATCTCTCATAGCAGGAGGAATATAGGTTAATGGCTTACCCATTTGTGAACTTTTGTTTTCCTGCACAATTTTTGCCTTTAGTTGCTCCTGTTTATCATCCTCTGCCCTTTCCTTAAAAATTGGCACTATCTGAGTCGAGGTACCTGTTGCCGAAAATTACAGTCTTCGATGTACCATTGATTCCTCCAATCTCATATTTGCTTGTTGTGCATGTGCTTCAATTCCTTTGCTAGATGCCTCCTCATTTTCCTTTTCCTCCAGAATAGGTTGAAATTTCTGTGGTAGAAAGCTACCAAAAGTCAATGGTTGCAATCCTGTGGCCGGAGTGAATTTCGATTCCTTTATCTCTATCGATGGGTGGTGCTGGAAGATTGTTGGTGCACTACCCATGCCTGTTAGCCAACGCCCCATTTGAGAAGGGGCAGGAGTTTCCATGGCTTCTTCATCCCCCTGAGAATTAGGGTTAGGAAGCTTCTTTCGTTGCCTTGTCATGGCGGATGGCGTGCGTTAGCTATCCTCGCTAATCGTGCGCCTGCAGAGCCAAGTGGCAAAACTACTTTCCTTTTGGGGTTAAAGCAGTTATGATAAAACATGTTATTCTAGCGCTTCCTACTTATCTGGTTGGCAGCCATGCATCCTCCTACGTAGAGTCGGATGCATCATACATTTACTGGGTTCAACTGAACCCAATACTTTCGACGCGAAGCATAAATTTATGTGTAAAAAATATTAAAATTGCAATAAATAGTTGATATGAACCCAAAAGTTTAAATGTTGAACCCATGAAACTAAAATTCTAGATCCGCCTCTGCTCCTATGGAAGTTCTAAAGCCATCTCCAACCCCTACCTCCATTTTCTCCTCCAAAATGCAGTAATCTCCAAAATGCAGGAAAGTTACTCCAACCATTACTCCATTTTTCACTCCAAAAAAGAATATTCCATTTTATATTCTTCTCTCTCTTCAATATTATATTATTATCTTTATTTAAATTTTATTTTCTTATTTCTATTAAAGAAAATCTATCTTTTTTTTCTTTTTTACATATTCATCACATATAATTTAATATTTTATATTTGCACCATTCATTTTTTGAGATGATTATATATTCTTTGTACAATTATAACTTATAATAAAATTAACTTACAATTTTACATAAAAATAATAAATGCACGAAAATTAAATTATCAAAATTATGCGCCAAAGTTAAGATGTAAAATTAATATTATAAAGATATTCCAGAAATATAATTAGGTATATATAAAAAGATAAACTAAAAGAGTTAAATAATAAAAATAATAATAAAATATGTATGAATAGTAATTGGGAAGATGAATAGTGTCCCCCATATTTGAAGGAACACTATTCATCCCCATTTTGGAGGAGAAATGGGGGAGGGTTGGAGCTCCATTATAGCAAAAGTTACCCCATTATGGAGAAACGGGGGACGGTTGAAGATGGCCTAAATCAAATTGAGAGAATGTTAGCTAGAATGGTACTTAAGTTTTATCCCTAGCTTCTTCTTTTAGTAGAACTTATAGTATAATGTTAAGAATGTAAGAGTCTTCAAAGGGATAGCATTATGAGAATATGCTCAAATATGATATAGATATTATGCAATTTATCACATACACTGGTTTGTGCTATTCCAAATCGTATCACTTAGAACAAATGGTGCGTTTGGTATGTCAAAAGTCACTTTCCAGAATAAATATGCTTTTTAATAGAGTCATTTTCTGGTGTTTGATTACTGGAAATAATTTTTGTGAAGAACATTTTCATCAAAAGCGATAAAATAACTTCCTTCTCACTTATGGGCGGGTATCATTTTTTTACAAGTATTTAAATTTTTTGAATGTTATATTGCTTGCTCGAACTAACACTTAGAGATTATTATTGTTCTTAATTAAGTATTCAAAAGTTTCGTCAAATAGTACTCATTCACTTGTATTAATTTTATATTTCACTCATCAACCAAATACCAAAAAAACGTATTCTAGAAAAATACTTTTCAAGGAAATGATTTTCTTTGTACTAGGTACACTGAGAGTAGGGATCACTTCTACCTTATCCCGACCAATGTAAAAAAGAGTTATTGTCTCAATCCTAAAACAGTTTGGGTTGTATATATGAATCCTCAGCATTCATCCGAAGTACATTATGAAAAAAGCAAGAAGGAATTAATACAAGTAATCGAATATGTTAGGTATTTTTTCTCTTTTCTGAGTGATATCCAGAATTTAATGTGCATATTGAACAGATGTATCCAGTCCTTATAGAAGGAATAGAATTTTTGCTTTCAAAAAAATCTATTACTTGATCAGATTAAAGGAAATAATGTCTATTTTCTCACGTAATTCATTCAAACCAATAATTCTTTTTCTCAAGGTAATTACAAAGATTCTTTTTTAGTTAGACTTCTATCGAATATCGATGGAGCTGAAGAACCATCCCTCCATATTTTTTTTATTTGTCCTGTCAATTAGAAATAGTCATTAGAATTGGTATGTCAATCTCTATAATTAGTACCTAACCCACTAGTCCAAGGAATTCTTCACATTAGTTTTAATTTCATGACTTCATCCTTAGTGTTTTTATCATTTCCCTCTCCTCCAAAGTCTTTTTCCTATTTACATAAAACTCCTACAGAAAAAATTGAGAGACTTAAGAGTTCATATTCTTTGGAACTTTTATTTGGGTGCATATGAAGAGATTCATGAGTGGTTTGTTGTACAGCGACAGTAGGAAGTCACTTTGTTATTTGCACTATAAAAAATCTACTATAGAAACAATGCCTTTCACAACGTATCACGA